AAAGGATGGCAAAGTATACACACTTTAATTAATAACATTAATTGGAATACATAAGTTATCAGGATAACTAATATTTTAAAGAGAATGAGATGTGCAGGAATCAAACTTTATTGCTTTAATGATGCTCGGAATATGAAATGAAGCAGTTGCATTATTGGAAAGGCAAGAAAGTTAACGAAGGACACTTTTTTGGAAAGTTTCAAAATTATAAACACACATAGATCCATCATAATATAATCAGTTGCAAGCTCAGAGAGCACATTACTACATAGATCCATCATAATATAATCAGTTGCAAGCTCATAGAGCACATTACTTAGATCTTATTGATTATTCTAGAAATACAATTAGTCTGAAACAAACATGTAAACCAGAAAAACAAAGGTAAAAATTTGTTATCACAATATTCAACAACATTCTCACATATATGTACATTTATTTATCAAAATACTGAATTATTACTTTTAATTACTTGTCAATGTGTAAATTATCAGAAGTCCCAAATTTCTCATGATACTGAAATACCATGATGTATATTACACGAGTATTAAGAAAGGGGAAAAATATGGTTTACATTTGTGTTATAACATTAGTCAGATGAAGACAGCTCTCCATTCAAATAATAAAAAGAGCACATTACATTTCTTTTATTACTTCTGAAAATACTTTTTAATTGTTTGTGATTAAGCACAAACCTATACAATGGGCTATCATTGCTCTGTCCACCACGGGTATCGAAACCCATATTCTAGCTTTGTAATACTTTTTAAATGCACTAGACAGTTGTTCATAAGTAATGGTATCAATTTGCATATTTAATCAGCAACTACAAAGGCTAAGTAGCTATTGCTGCAACCCAGTCAAATTCTGGTTGTGTGCAAGTGTAAACAGAACCCATAATAAGAACTGGGAGTTCACTGTGATATAACAACAATGTGTACACAATCACATAAGAACTGGGAGTTCACTGTGATATAACAACAATGTGTACACAGTCACATAAGAACTGGGAGTTCACTATGATATAACAACAATGTGTACCTTAGCTGTTCTCTTTATTTTATAAAATGTCAGAAAATACTAAATTCTTTTCTGCAGGGTTAAGATGTTCTGAGTATCATTGATAGCATGTTATCCACTAATGACCTGGCTTTGCAATTATCACTTGTTATTCAAGCTGCTTTGAACAAGGGGGTTAACATTAAGTATTTTGAAAATGTTTTAGAAGAAATTTTACCCAGTAGCTTAAAGTAATGGTATAAACTTCCTTTCAACTAATGATTGCCTAGTCAGAGTAACTGCAAGTCGTACAACTGCCCAAAATGTTGAGATTTATCTCTTTTTGCTCTCAGCTGTGAGGTTTAACCATTGTGCTTCAGTTCACCTGATAGGCCAGGTGACATCTGTAAGACATCTAAACCTCAAATACCAGTATTTGAGCCCAAATCCATAACAATGATAATAACTTGCATCCTTAGTGATGGCACCAACAATGGTGTGGAGTCAAACTTTATTAATGCCAGTCTATCACCATTTGTGTGAAAAAAAAGTTGTTTATTAGCCATAGTAGTGGTTAATGTGGTATTGACTGATACACTATAAAATCAAGTAGGATTCCTGCTGCTCTTGTATCAAGTGAAAACTACCTTGCATTCACCTTCTTTCACAGTCACCTAAAATGGCTGTCAGTGGAGCTACATAGATACCACTGAACTGCTGCTCTAGTTATGCTTATGATGTGGAAGAGAAGACATCGAGATCCAGAGAGAAATCAAGAGAACAGAGGTTCTCATATTACAACTGTGAACAGTGTGACCATTTCTTGCATAGATGTCCTTTCTCTTTGTATACACATTCATAAGCAAAGGGTCAGAAACATGTTCAAGTGAAATGATAGGTTGTGAATAAATGCTGTTAGATCTCCTAGTTTAAATAAGTAAGCCTGGGGACTTACCTGGCTACTGATCAAGGAAACGACAACCATATACCAGTTCCATCATGTGTGATGATTAGATCAGCATCTATAAGACTAATCATGGCTTGGTATATATGTATAGGATGTTATACATATTCTATTTAAGTCAAACTGTACCAGTAAGAACAATTTATAAAATGGTAACCTCAACCAAGTTGCTGGACAAAAAAAAGCTTGCAACAGTAATTGCAGTGGTTTTAACAGAGATGCAGCCTCCAGGAGTGTGTCATGTCACGAGAGTCTACAACAGATGGCAATACCTCACCAATATTGCACTGAAGTTTGTTTGACTGCTTGATAGTAGCATATTACGCATGTTGTAGTTTTTATTTGGTCAGTTAACATTATTATCGTTAGGCAATCGCAAACTCTCATACTTTCTATAGTAGGATTCAGTTAAGAATCCAGTTGTTTTGTGGAATTATTGTATTGTATCCTATATTATCTAACACCTGGATTCGGATACTAGTGATTGACCAACTACAGAGAGAGAGAGAATGTGGATTGCAAGAGACGTTTTGGTGTTTTCAGTTAGATCCAATCTACCAACGTAATAATCCTTTCTGTTTGACTTTCAGCCATTGTTCCAGTTTACATTCCATTTTTTGTAAGCACAGTTTATTTTTGTTAAACCTCATACTATCTTGTCTTTTTCATTCCACCTGCAACAAATAACAATTACTTGCCATTTCAAGTACCAGATCTACAAGCCATTTATTCTTGAGAAAGTCAGGTTGCCATTACTATGTAACTGGTAGTCAACCTCTGTCTTTGTTTCTTCCAAAGCATGTCTCTCACGTGTGATACTAACAAAGAGGTATCTCTGACGTGGTAAAACTAATAGCAGGGAGTTGAAATGATCTGAAGATAGATCAGTTAGTGGTCCCTAACTGACTCATGGAACTTCTTTGTTAAATATGAAGTGCTTCCAAGCACTTTGATAAGTTTCCAAAGTTTTACGTTTTTTTTTCACTCACCATAAACTGTCACCTGGTCCATGTTAAATATGAAGTGCTCCCAATCACTTTGGTATGTGTTCCAATGTTTTATATTCTTTTAACTCACCATAAACTGTCACCTGGTTCATCCAAGATAATTGATAATGTCAGTTGCTCTCATGAAAATTAAGTGAGCCTGAAGACACTAGTAGAATAATACTATGGGATAATTGGTCACAGCCACACTAAGACAATGGGCTGTGTAATTTGGCATCTACCTCTGCTATAGCCCAATTAATGTGGTCTCTTTAATTACACCAAAAAATAAACTGTTGCTTACAAGATGATTCAACTCAAACATACTTACTAAAAGGTGCTATCAGCCAGAAGGAAGGAAAAAGTGTTGACAAAATGTTCCAACATAACCCTTGTGTTTGATCAACCTCAAACAATGATGCTACTACCATGGCAAAATGTCATTCAAGCAAACATGAGATGGAATTTAACGTTTGACAAACTCTAGAATTTCAAGCCATTAAACAACTGGAGTTCATGCCTATGTTCATGTTAACTCCTTGGTAATTTATGCCAAATAACATTAACAATGAATGGTTGTCCTCACTACAGAAAAAGGAGGCAAGGTGGAACAAAATATGCCTCCACCTTTCAGTGGTTCAGCAAAAGAAAATCTCGGTTGCTTCCTTAAGTGTCATTGGCTGTCATAATATATGTGGGACACAATTAGTTCTGCACCCGGAAAGCAATAGTTTGAGAGCTGCATCTACTGGGTGGAATTTAAGGGTCATAAAATCGTGCTCACAAACTTAGCTGTGTACACCAATGAGCTGTGACACACTACAAAGAGTACCCAGCATGGTGGCAACCAAATCAGATATTCTGGTCAATAAGTGTATGGAGGGACTTCTTGTCAAATCCCTGGAATACCATTTTTTTCTCTTTTTCACAAATCTAATCTATATTACTTAAGATATATAAAACTAGAAACTGATGATCTTAATAAATACTGATAAACTTTATTTACCAGAAGTTTTTCTTTAATCGCAAACTAACTCTTTATAATTTTTTAAAACTTTCAGAACATTTTAGATTAATGGTTTAAGAGATTCCACTAAAGATTTCGAAGTGTTTAATTCAATAGTATATTCAATAATTCAAAGTAAAGAAATTATAACAGTATTAATAACTACTACCAGTTTTTGCTTCGGATATTCGCGCAAAGCTACACAATAACTATCAGTACTAGCCGTTCCTAAGTTTGAACTGATAAAACTATGAGAGAAGGCATCTAGTCAATGGACCTCCCTCCCCCGAAAATTTTTAGACTACTCAAATAGAATAGTGGGATTTGACCATCACTCTAATGAAGTTCCCATTGCTTAAAAGTGCGATACAACCGGCCACGAATCATGGACCTTCGGACTCACAGTCTGACATTCTCAGCCCACTACCAATGCTTCTTATTTCTGAACGTGAAATTATAGGTCTTCTCTAACTTTAAAATGTAACATAAGTTGTATTATACATGTCAAGTATTAAGATATTGATTATACAGAAACAATCATTTGGGTAGTTTATTACCCTAAGAAATCTGTACTTGCCAAATAGGATAGAACTACCAATAAAGAATTACAGATTAATGGCGTCTTCCAATATTTTGTAATAGTTTAAAACCTCTCTGCTTATACATTCGGAAAGATTTAATTAAATGCGAGTAGGATATCTCTAATTATTGAATTTTTTTTACTCCCTGGATCATTTTGAGAAAACCGCCGGCTTTCAATATTTTAAGAAACACTGAAACTTGGGTTTAAGACTAGGAAATGGATTATCTGAGGGACGTTTTTATGGGGGGTTGCGATGAAATAACTGGTTTTTCTTCATTCACAATTTTAAAAGAGTATGGTAAAAGCTAGAAGTATTATAACTAAGTAAATAATCATTGTATGAAACTATTAAACAAAAGTAACTGTAAATGGCGACATATCGCAATGCTATTCTAGTATATGTGTTTATTGTTTTCATTTATAAATTTTAGATCTGTATAGCAATATATAATTATTCCATCACTAACATTATAAAAATTGTGAGGGAAACATTTAATATTGTCGTGTCACAAATTAGAAGTAACTTGCGTTTAATCAACTCAAGTTAAACAGTTTAGCCTACTATTACTTTATATACATATAAGCACACTAAAGTAATGTTTTATACTGAAAGACCTGTGGTTTAGATTATGTCACCGAAATAAAAGTACTCTATTTCTCAGTGTAACTTAAAACTGCGAGTTTAGTAATACGTAAGTTATACGAACTCAATCTAATTCAAATTGTATTAGCATTTGCAAGTAATAATATGTTTTAAGTTACTTTTTTTGTTTTTCGGTGAAGCAGATAATAATAGTATTATATTGATAATTGATGCACATTCGTTTATATTAGCTTCTGAAATATTTATATTTTTTTAAATTACTGAACAGCATATTATTGTTAATGTTGTTATAAACGTAGTGCTATTACTAGCTTCGAGAAACACGTGTTACTGGTAATGGACTTCAATGTAACCCTACATACTCTGTTATTCTATTTTCATTACAAAAAAAAAAAACGATTCTTAGAAACTGCTTAGCTATATCTAGCATCTAGAGTATTTACAATTCTAATAACTTAAAAGTTAAAAATAGATAATAATATTAATAGAAACCCGATTAGCTCAATTTTACATGCTGGTATTGAAACGATGTTAACAGGAACTAATTATCAGAGAAAAAAACTTATTTAAAATAAACACAAGATTTTTGTCAGTTGTGCATAGTAAAACGTTTGTTTATTTTATTCGCAATGTTTCACTTGATGATGCCAAATGTGAACAAAATAAAGTTTTACTATGTACAACCAATAAATAATACGTGTGTGAATGACATTAATGGTTCCTTGCCATACTGCACCTCACGAGTCACTACTATATGTCAAACGAGATTGTAGCCAGTCTGTAATAACTAATTATTTCTGTGGGGAAAAATTTATGGCTGGACAGAGGATGACTGTTAGTATTAACGATAGTAAGATGTCTCCACTGTCTGAGCCTCTTTTACCTAATTCTGATGTTTTGTGACATAAATAAAATTGATAAAAAATTATATTTTCTTCGACCTAATACAATTCACACTGTATCAGTTGTCAGGTAAATTGTTAAAATAAATAATAACTCAATCACTACAAATATGTGTTATACCCTGATAGCCTGATGAGCAAAAGGTCCCATTGGCACCGGAAATAGCACATATATAGTGTGGTTGACATATAATATACTTTCACTCAAAAGTTCTCATTAATAATTACAGGTATATCACTGTAAACTAATATGATTCTACCTCTGTTTTTGTAACGTGAAGTTTTGAAACCTAGTAATATGTTAGAGAATGTATTGCAATATAATATCTGGTATATTTTATAATTTTTTGTTTTTTAGTTATGTTAACTTGATAATATTTTGTTGTTTTTTGGTTTTTTAAGGCATATTTATAATTTTTTCTTGTACTTCTGGTCTCCGGTAATACTTGGGGGGTTGTGTAAAAGATTATTGATGTTAAAAATTATTAATGTTTAAAATAATATGTAGCTTGGTTTTAACTTTTCTTTTTTAGTTTGACAACTTAATAATGCTCTGTCTTTTTATAGAGACATGCTTGTAAATTTTGTGTACTTTCAGATAATGTTTATTATGTTGTTGGGTAGAAGATTAATTGTCGAGGTTGGAAATTGAAACTTGAATATTACTAGTCTGAGAATTATATCAAGGATATGTGTGTGTGTGTGTGATGACTGTTTACCTTAAACAACAAATAGACATACCTTAGCTACAGAACTTTAATAATTTGTTTGTAAATACTGATACATAATGTTGGGTCAAAGAAACTTGTTAGTTTTGTTTGAAATTGAATTAGTCATTTAAGTTTTCTTACAGTTTACAATATCAGGTGTGCCAATTTTTAGGAATCTGTTTGAGTGAGACTTTTTAAAAACATATTTAAGTGCACAGAAAAGTACTTCTAATGCTGAATGCAGTTGTCTTCTAGCGAAGGGTCTGAGGGCATGAGATTTTATTAATGTGTATGAGTGTGAGAATAGGCTTCAGACAAGTGAGTGTTGGTAACTATTTTGTATTGTTTATATTTTTAGCAATTATTCATGTATATACTGCAAAAAATCTTGGCTGTTGGGGTTGATTTGTTTATGACTGGAAGTTAATATACTTCCAGGGACTTTTAATTCAGTTTAATTACTGACCTGTGGTTGAAAGGGCAGAATTAATATAAATGTAACTTATAATGTTGATTTGGTATCAAGGCCAAATGTACAGTGTGTAAGCTTGTATTGGACTGAAGTAATAATTGTCAATTGTAGTAATTATTAAGTGGTGAGGAATAAGTGAGTTTTGGTTGGTTGTCACACCTTGTATTAAGTCAGTGTTTTTTTTTTGTTTTTAAATCAAAACTAAATGTATAGATGTGATTTTAAGATAAAGAAAATGTATGTAATGACAATGTTAGGAGAGAATATATACATATTTTAAAATGAAAAAGAGAAGTTGTAAAACAAACAATTTTAAAGCAAAGTTTTGACATAAACTTGACCTCGAAACTGACTTTAATGCTTAAGACTTGGAGTATTTATGTATTTCAGTGAATATGCATTTATTTCATAAACATTAAAGGTATATTTTGTAAAAATGTTCCATAATAACCTTGTTTTGGACTAAATTAGGTTCACTCTACACATGATTTTTGTCATTATGTAATGTACATGTAGTAACTATGTACATTACATTACATTAACTATGTACAACACCTAGTTCAGTGTATTGCTTAGTCACTCGAAGATGAAAATCATAACTAAAGCGACATTGCTAATAAAAATGGGGGAAAATTTTAATTGATTTCAAGCCCAAAAGAATAAGGTATTAAGATTTTTTATGTTAACTTGCAGCTATTTTTTCAGTTAATTAGCTTCAGCTATAGTTTACTGAACTGCAGTTGTGTTTGAAACTCGCACTAAAAGCTTGGGCATGTAATTTGTTGAGAGAGAATTCCCAGAGAATTGTAACATTACAGGATGTAAAATATGAGATTTATTTTTGTTTGACAAAGTGGCGAAAAGACAATGAATGGATTTATCTGAAATATTTAATTATATAATTACAAAATAAAAAAATAAAAAATGTTGCTTAACACTACCGAAACAGGTCTGATGGATCTTCCTGTGGTCAGGGGTCAAAGTCTGTGTCATTGTATTTTTAGACTTACATTCAAAATATTATTGAACTACTATTTTATGAATGAATGTCAATAAATTTTGTATCAAATTGTAAATTATAATTAAAATTTTACTATTATTCAGTGCTTAATTTGTTAATTTAAAAGTAAATATTGAAATAAAATTCCTAAATATTGATTTTTATATGTCATGTGGTATGTTGATGCAGCTTTGGTTAAAATTAAATGTTTGTTATGTCAATAGTTTCTTACAAACTCAAATTACTGACATTGACAAGCTAGAATATAAAATAAGAACCTCCTGTCTCTTCTATTTTCTGAGATATTATTATATTTAGTGAATCAAACAAGGTGGCCCTGCTCACCTCTTTCATTTTTGAAAATACTTGTTTACTTACACCTACTTTGCCCAATGATGTATTATAACCAATCAAAAGCTCAGAATGTTCCCCATGTGGTTTTTTTTTTAACCTCTGCAAAATATTTACACAGAAAATCCTTTCTTTTCATGGTAGTTCCAAATGGTAAGGTAATACATTATTGAGCTCAAAAATCATATTTTTTTACATCCTAATACAGCTTAGTTACTAAGCTTGATAAATTATAGTAGAATTGTGTGGTATTGGTATGGTAATTTATGACTTTTTGTTATTTCAAAATGGATATATAAAACCCATAAAAATTATTTTGTTTTACATTCTCCACGTGCAAAATTTGATAAGGCTTAGCAAATTACAGTAAGCAGCAAACGAGTACAAAGTTTGTAACTAGAAGAGATAATTGTTTTCTATACTTTTTTGTTTACTGTTCTATGTCTTAAGAAAAATAACAAATTTAAGAACCTATTTGTAAACAGTAATAATGTATATACATATATAAGATATTATAACCTAAATATGACTGTATTTTACAAAATACTGCCCCATTAGAACATAGCCAAGACAGATCACTTGTAAAGGCCAGTTGTATATTATTGGATACATGAGCACATGTGGACAGCATCATTCAACTTCTGTAATGTTAGTCAAACACTGCTGAAAGGTCAATAAAATAAAAATAATAAATTTTAATACATGTATAATGTTATGAGATTCAAGCTATTTGACTAAACATTTGTGGTTTCATGTTATAATTTGTAGTAATTCTAGAATGACAAAAGTGTAATTTATATCTATTTCCTTATTTTTTATGGTGGTTACAAGGTTGGTCAATTCGACCAAATCCATACAGAGCTACAATAGTAAAAATAACAGATAAAATATAAAGTTTTCTTCCAAAAAAACGTTTAATAATTATCTGGAGGTTACAGAGATTTTGCATGTGAAATTTGGCACTTTTGTGATGGCAATAGGTATTTTTAATCTTAAAAATCAAAATTATTTCACATATTGGATAGCCAACAATTAAAAATAAAAAATGCACAAGCAAATATTTAATTGAAAATGTTAAAACTTAATTATAAAATTTGATACTTTGTGTACAATTGCCTTGTAATGTTTACTGATATTCTGGCTTTAAGATTTTTTTTTGAATTATTTTAATTTAGTTTAGACGATGAAACAGCCAAGATGGACCAATAGGTCCCCATGTTGTCCCAAAACATTATGTAATGTTATTTTAAAAAGTTACAGTATAACTGCTCTATGGTTAGTAGAAGGGTTAATGGACTCCATTATATGCAGGGAAATTTTCTTTTAGGATTCTAGGAATTATGTCCCTTCCAGCAGAAAAGCCTAAGCCCTTATTCAGGAATTTAGAAGCTGATGACCCTAAACCCGAGATTCTTGAACTTGAGAGCCTTTGTATAAGATGTGAAAAAAATGTGAGTGATAAAGTTCATACATCTATGTAGTATAAATACAACATTATTTGAAGTCCTTTAGAATATGTACTAAACAATAAATTAGATTTATAACAGTTTAACATGTATACTCAGGATTTTGGGACCTGCTTATCAATTCATTTTTTCATCCTTTCTATTCAAACTCAAGGAGGCATAATGTGACAAATACCAATTTTGTTATCTATCCTTTTAATTACATAAATAATGCACTCAGTGTTTGGATTTGATTCAAATCCAGTCTTAGATTACATACACAGTACTTGGTAGAATGCCATTTGGCCAATTAAATTCACTATAGCAACAATCTAAGATACTAAACACAGCCTTTCATAACAAAGCTTCCAAATAATTCTAAAACTAAACACTAATAACACCACTCATTATACAAACCATTTTATGTTTATAATCATGTCTGTAACAGAGAAATCTTTTTTCAGAAGAACAGTTTTGGAGTTGGGGTTTAAAACTTTTTAACACTAATATTCAAGTTTGCATTTCCAACCTTATCATTTCATCACAAAAGCAGACTATTCTTAGACAATTTCGTACCAATTTTAAATATATAAATAAAGTCACCTCTTATTCCTGCATTCTTCAGAGATAATAACAAAAAACTTCCTTACATTTCTACAAATAAAACAATTAAGTTTGATTCTCATCTTCCATAACATGTTTTTAAATCCCCGAAAGGTTTAATAACTTCTTTCTGAACTTTAACTATATAGAACTCTAATTTTTTTTTTTTTTAAAAGTACAAGATTCTTATTTTTCCTTTTTCCTTAACAACATTTATTCATAATGCTTTTATTTGTTTAGGTTGCAAGTT